AAGGGTGGAGAAAGGTAGGGAGAAATGTAGTGAGCTAATACGTTAGGATTAAAGGAAGAAACAAAGAACGAATCAGGTAGAAGCAAAGATATACAGCAAAAAGACAGTGTCTCTAACAAACTTACGTTTTTCCTTGAACCAGAAGCTGGAGTAAAAAGTTCATAATTGGCAACCATCATCGCATCGTCCAGTCTTGTTCCATCTTCACTGCTGGCCTCAGGGAACATGTTATCCAATGTACTGAATACATCTTGCTGGTAGAAATACCGGTTAAACTTTAATTCCAAAGTCGCCATGTTGGAATACGAGACTAAACCAACATGGGTGCCATCGTATGAGACATTGAAGGCGTTTGCAGTTCCTTTCATGAAATTCTGTACATCTCTCCATTCAGTGTCTTTGATGTTACTGGAGATTGGAATGGCAAAGGCCAAGTCTGTTGGTGATTGACAACCTGAGAGGTACACAAGGTAGTTCAGTGTTTATAAAAGACTGGGATTTGTCAATGAATATTATTAATATACTTTAAAACCAAATCTATTGACGTCGGACAGTGTGACTGAAAATRTCGTTTACTTTATGCTTGTTTTTATTTTTGTAACTCTCTTCAGTAACTCACTTGTAACTCTTTGTCTAGTATTCATTACTATTCTAACTAATTTTCCGTGTTAAACTAAAATAATTGTATTTTTAACCAGACCGTATGTACAAACATTTAACATAGTTAAGGCAAAATAAAGCGGATACTAGACCACAGTTATGTGTYATTATGTGTTSAYGGTATTGCTCTATAAAGCRGTAGAATTCTAATRATGCTTCAAGCCTTGAAAGACACATACTTGGGCAATCCTGTATCTTGCAATGGCGTTTCTGCGAGTAAGGTCCACGGCAGTTGGCTCCAGTGAGGCATCGTCTTGATCTCACRGAGACACCATCACCGCATGTCTTCATACAGGGACTCCAATCCGTCCAAGCACCCCATCTAGCTYCATGTGCAGAGAYAAAGGCGTTKAATTCATTGTTTTATACAAACGGTGAATTTTTTTTCTTAACGCACAACAATAGACAAAAGTGTACTACTTGACAACTACAACAATATCAATAGCGGTAGCTATAATAGCARRAGCARCAGCACCAGCAATAATCAAATGGCAACAACAGTTYGCAACAACAACAATCACACCAATAGCGACTACAGCAGGCGACAACAACAACAGCCGAAACAMGAGCTGCAACAACTCAACTGTCACTTGCATGRTGTTTTTGTGTTTGTTGTTGRTGAAAATATTGTTGCTCTTTTTGCTGTTGTRTCTTATGTTTCTTGGTGCTGTAAGAGTTTTAATCACAAATMCGAAACTTACGTGGTGGGGGCGGTGGTTTAGCTTGGCAAACAGCATCAGCAGCAAGCTTAACATACTGTGGCAAGTCWTCATATGCTGCAACCAGGTACGCATGCTCGGGATCAGACACGACCTGCCTAATGACCTGRCTGTCAACATTYTCACCYACACCAAGAACAACAACTGTGGCGCCGTCCATGTCTTTCAAATCGTGTGCACGACGTTGAATCGCCATCTTGTTCTTGTTTCTGGAGCCTCCATCAGTAACTACAATCACAGCTTTAGGGATCGCAGCCCTCGATCCGCTGTCGTCTGAGAGAATTTGYTCACGTGCCATCTTGAGGGCGCGGTCAGTTCGTGTCTCGCCACGTGGCTGTGTCATACTGTCTAGGTATGATTTGATCTCTACTTTGTCGTTCATCTCATGGAAGGATTTTTCCACGTGTGGAAGGGTCGAATATGTGATTATCTGGAAAATAAGGTATTTGCAAGGTATAGCATTACCGAATGGTGGAACCTAGCATTTGAGAGAAGGAGTGACGTAATATTTGACAGGAATGACGCAAAGTTAGTACTTACGGATGTACGAGTTCCGTTATTCGCCACGTGGAAAGCATTGACAACTCCTTTTACAAAGTCTTTGGTAAGTTTCCATTGGGAGTCATCAATAGTTCCAGAAGCATCCAGAAGGAATGCAAGGTCGATCGCATTAGAACAGTCTATRSAAGAGAAATTGAAAGGTAAATTAAATGATCCTTGATTGACACCATAACTTGACTTTCACGAGACCAATCAGAATATAGTATTATACATATAACCCCCCATCCCTAATGACAAAGAGCTTGATCAATCATYATATAGCATTATTTGGCCAATCTTAAGCCAGTAWTTACTCACGTGGACAAGGCTGTGATTTACATCTCTCGACTTCTCTTGCAGATCCATAGCAACTTGGTCCTCCTTGACATGTTCGATATCGTTCACGTAACCCTCCATTACCACAACTGGTACTGCACACCGTCCAGGAAGACCAGTCACTGAAGTATCCTGGGCAAATATCCTCTTCACAGTTCTGGTATTCTTTGTCAACACCATCACAGAATCTGCCACCATATGCTGGTGTAGGCGAGTTGCATTTCCTGGCCCTGACCTGRCGGCCATTACCACATGTGACAGAACACGTGCTCCACGCGCTCCACTCGGAGAAATTYCCGTTAACTGTAGGGGAAACAGATCATAGGTAAGTGGGCAATTCTGCTCATGCAATGCATTATGGTAAATATAGACTTCCTCCTTTATGTCCGCTAAATTAATCAAAAAAATCAGTTTTCTTTGCAAAAATCAATGTAGTTTTGCCGTTTTTGTGAAGGAAAAACAGAAACTGTTTTCATAAGATTATTTTGTGGCACATCATATCCGTTGTTGTACAAAATGGTGTCCCTGCACCTTGCCTATTGTATATGGTACTGTATTGTTAAATAGTGGCCATCTTACTTGGACATGGAGTCATTTTACACTCGGCTGTCTCGTGTGCATAACCAGGGCAAGGTTTACCGCCATTACTGGGCTTAGGGCTGTCACACCGTCTTGATCTTCTGACAATACCACGTCCACATGATGCRGTYCACTTGCTCCAAGCACTCCATGTTCCCCAGTTYGCATCAACTGTTAGTGATATTATTAATAAATCATCAATTATAATCCATAACTTGTACTGARATAGGTAAATTATTATCAGTGTTTCACGTTGGATTAAAATRATTTTGGKAACTTACTTGGACAATCTTGTAATTTYCAACTCTCCTCRTCGCGATCTTTGCCTTCAAAGCGACAGTCCAATCCTCCCCATGCTGGAGGTGGGTTGGTACAGTTTCTTGTACGGTAGCGTTCACCTACCCCACAATCCTTTGAGCACTTGCTCCATGGGCTCCATGCCGTYTAGTTACCTTGCATTGCTTGTACTAACAAAACAGAAATGATAATCAGCGGGTTTCTTTTGCGAAAATGTTAAACAGTTATTAATTAAATCGTATCGTGTCCTGTCATGTACAATACRGTGTATTTGTTGTATTTAGCAAAAATGTTTAACAACTGTATAATAGTATCCTGGTGCTGTATTGTATAGTATTATGTCATGCGCATTGTAT